TCTCGGGTGTCCCGGGGCGCCGCCCGCGAGCGTGGGTCTGGTGGGGGGGCGGCTGGTGCCCTGGGCTGGGATTCACTAGAATTAGGTGCGACTTGTCTGCCCGCTTGCAGGGTGCCCATCGCGTGAAATAATTCGCGTTCAGTCCCACAGAGGCCTTGGGAAATGCCTGGGTGTTGTACCCAGATCTGCAAAGGCTTCTTAATGCCTCTCGTTTCTTTTCAACGTAATTCAAAAAATGTAACAGACCAGTGTACCCGTATAGTCACCCTCCTTATACGCTGCCTGTCCTGAAGGTACAGCCTAGTTCAAGGGATTATAAAAAGCCTTAGCTAGAGAAGATTTACAGGGCCACATTTTCAGAGTCATGCGTGTGCAGTTTTACTGCATATGTTTGTGTGCCAGGCTAATGTGCCCATGCATGTCAGTGATGGGGTAGCAGTGTTGGTCTCAGGATGTTAGAGACGAGTTAGGTGAGGTAATATCTTTTATTGGACTAACTTCTGATGGTGAGTGAGACAAAAGCTCTTTGAAAGCTGCAAATCTTGTGTGGTCTAATAAAAGACGTTACCTCACCTAATTTGCATGTCAGATTTGTATATGCAAGTTAACATGCTGACTTTTTACTAATCTGAAACTGATAGTGATAAATGGAAAAACAAAATGATGTACCTACTGTTTAACACTTTCCCTAAGTCTTTCCTGTTCTTCAAAAGCTGATCTTCCATTACCTGAACATCCCTTATAAAACTATTCTGTGGTATTCTTTTGTGTCTTGAGACTTGGATCTCTGGATTTCTTATTTAAACCCCCGTCATTACATAATGCTTCTGTGATATTGTCTGTCATGGAGTAGACATTGGGCCACCAGAGTGGGAGGAGGGGTTTCCTGGTAGCCCTATGTGTGTGAGAGAAAAGGGAAGTGTTTAAGCCTTTCACTAATAGTGATGGCTTATTTTAATGTGGGAAAACTGGAGGCTTCTCACAAAGGCATTAACGTGCCACAGGAGTGAGTTTTACTTCTGGCCTGCACAGTATGTATGTACAGTGAGTTGACTGTCATATGACTTTCCCATGGCAACTAATGGAGACTAGAGAGTATTAAGCCTTTGGTAGTCTTAAGAAGAGAACTGATGTTAAAAACAAACAAACTTCAGGACTGCTTCAGAGTAGGATATTGTCAGTTTCCTACAAAATTGAGATAAACAAGGTTATTATGCATGGATTATGCCTGCGTGTTAAGTGAGAGCATGTGGAGAATATGCATATTTCAACTACTGGTTCTAATGGAGTGATGCAATTAGCTTTCACACTTGAATGATATACAGCCTACCTACTGCATGTCCCTAGAAAAGACTAGAATGCAAGATGAACAGAAAAATGCCAAACTAGATTTGGAATGGTTACAAAATCTTAAAGATATTTTTACTCGTTCTCGTCCCTTCCAGGGCCGATCCTCTATTTTCCCTTTATGTTGCTTTTTTCAATTCTGATACCAAGATAATATAAAGCAGATGATGTAGGAGTCACCTTTTAGCTAGCAGTTCTTGCTGACCAAATTAAATTTTACTCATTACAAGGTGAGTAAAACTTGATAGAGCAATTCTTACCCTCTGATAAAGCTTCTAAAGAGAACCAATTGTCTTGCTGCATCTGTAGAGCCCTATGCAGATACAATTTTTGTATCCACATCCGATCTGCAAACACAGTCTGCGGATATCCCCAGATCTGGAGTACTCTACTCATCTTGTGAATAAAGATGGATCCAGTGTGTTGGCTGATAAAAGCTCATGATCAGTAGTGATACATTTGCCCAAATATATCTTCAAATGTGGTGGTTTCTTTTTCAGCAAGAGTATTTTATGACTTGGATCAGTTTATAGTTTCAAGCCCTGGATGAACTGAGTGCTATTACTTAAGATTATCAGAATTGTGCAGACATCAAGAGGGAATGGAAGGTGTATCTGACCAATTTGTTGTTTGAAGAGACATTCTGTGAACGTGGTGTATCTTTTTAATATTATATAAAGAGACAAACAAGACACTTCATACACTGACTTAAGTTAGTCCATTACTCAACCTAGCTTCTTTAAAAGCGTGTTCAAAAAGTCTCCATGATAAACTTCGACATAGTGATGTGGAAATTGAAATGGAATCTGTTCCATTTGGCGTGAGAGAGAGAGCAGGCACTAAAAGATTCCATTTCAGGTTCTACATGGATACCTTGGTGATAGCCATGGATTAGACTGCAACTTAGGTACTTCGGTGCGAAGTATCTTTAGGCGCGCTAAAGTTGACCTGTCTGGGATCAAGAGCTGATGAACTATCGCTTCAAATGCTGCCTGAAATCCAGGCCAGAGAAGCTCTGATAAAACTGGTAGCCAAAATACAGTTAGGACCGTAATTTACGATATGTAAAGGGTTAGCAGGATATAATTTACGATATGTAAAGGGTTAGCAGGATAAAACTGTCTGCTAACTATATACAGATGCATGCTTAAAGATAGCTTGTATTTGGCCTGGGACTTAACACAAAAGTTGTACTTAGAAGCTAGAGAGGATATTACCTATGCTTTTTAGATAAGTTAGTGTCTCTTTAGCCAAAAGGTTTTGTCATTAAATACACAACTGTAGTAACGGAAGGCATGCCGCTTTTAACAAAGAAAGAGCCAACAGCAGGAAAAGAGGAGAAGCAGAAGCAATAGAGAAGGATAATCTTCATGGTGACCAGTAATTGAGAGGTTTACAAAGTGCATGATCAATCACTTTTTTATAAATGCCAGGAACAAGACGGTGTGTTTCTCAGTTGCTTTGAGGCTAAGACTTGTATACCATTCCTTCCAAGGCTGCCATTTGTATGCGTGTGGAAAAGTGAAGAGATGCCTTTAATCTGCTGCTTCCACATCTACCTTCTCCTACAGCGGGGGTGGGCAAAGTGGTCAAGTGCTGCACTTTTCTATGGACAGGGTGCAGGATCTGGGACAGAGGTTGGGTGCAGAAGGGAGTTTGGGGTAGGGAACTGTGGTGCAGGAGGGGAGTGAGGTCTGAAGGTCAGGTGGAGGAGGGGGTATTGACCTGAGGCAGCAGATTAGGGGGCAGCAGGGAGTTCAGGGTTAGGGTGCGTGAGGGATAACAGTAAAGGTGCAAGGTCTGGGAGCGAGTTGTGACCTGGGACAGGGAGGGGTGGTGCCAGGTACAAATTCTGTCTGGGAAGTGCTTACCTAGGCAACTCCCAGCCAGCAGCCCAGCCAGACCCTCAGGAAGGCTCCCTGCCTGCCACAGCCCCAGACAGCTCAAAGTGGCTAGCTGCTGGGACCACATGCCTCCCTCATCTAGAGGCTCTTCATGGGAGGGGTCGACATCTTTGCACACTGCCCCTGCCTCCCAGCACAGTTCTCGCAGTTCCTATTGGTCCAGGGCTGTCTTGCAGGGAACCTGCCCCAAGCTTGTGGTGGGCCATGGGTGGGATCCAAAGGCTTGGTGGGCTGTATTTTGCCAGCCCCACGCTACAAGGAGAGCTGAGTTGCCCCATAGTACTATACTTCATGCTACATGCATGGGTAGCTTTGGGGCCCTGGCTAGATTAGTTTGGGTCTTTCTAGGGGGGATTAAGTTGGGGAGGTGGCAGTAATGTGAAAGTCCAAGAGAACAGCAGTGGAAAAGTTCTAATATACTGCTGTCCTGTAAATGCCCTGGCTCGTGTTTCATCCACAGCCTGGGCTCAGATAGCGAAGGGCCTGGCATAGAGGACTCACAAAACACTTTCAGGTTAGCATGTGTCACTGTGCCTGTGTGATCATTCCCCACTTACCAAGAGAAGGGAAATTAGGGCATGTTTCTTGTGCGCACGGTCAGGCGATAATGCTTAGTTTTCATCAATTCACCTCATTAGTCAGCCCCTTGAAGCCATGCTTATGACTTGAAGGGGGAGTGATCAGTACTATTTTGTTCACATGGGGGGGGGGGAGAGGAATGACAGCTGCCAACAACATTGTGTGTGTGCGAGGGAATGGGCTTTGCACAGCCAAGCGCTTTGTCATGTAGCTCTATGCCAGCAGCTACTAGGGAGGTGTGACAATCAATTGATTGTTCCAGTGATGTGGATGATGAGGAAGGCCTAGGTTAATACACAATGCAATTGAGCATGTGTATAGAGGAGTCTGTCACAGGATGCTGCTTTGTATCTGTCTCTACTCTATTGAAACAGAGTTCAGTTCTGCCCCTCCAGAATAGTGCCAGAGCTTGTTGTATTTTAGAATATTTGAAATGGCAAAGGGGAAGACTGCTTAAATTCGGCAGTATTGTAGCAACACTCTAGCCAGAGTTTTTCAGTCTGGAGTTTTCCAGAGTGTTTACAGTTGCCTTCAAGTTAAAATTGGCCTCTTGTCAATGTTTCATCAGTCACACCCTTCCCCCCCCTCTTATGCAAACAAATGGGTTTTGGTAGTCCTGATGTAGAGGATCATTCAGGACACAGTCCTTGACACGTAAATTATTTTTGCATAGCACAGAAAAATTCTGGAAAACATTACTTTACAACTAGATTAATCTGTACAACAAGTGTATGAAACTTGTGGTAGGATCTGTTGCAAACTTAGGACCTTTATTGTGGATGCTGCTTTTTATTTTTTTAATGTGGTGTGTTCCTTACCGACTGTCCATCTCGGAGAGCTACTCAAAACACCATTGTTTCCCGTGGAACGATGTAGGTGGTGTTTATATAACCTCATACTGGGGTTTTGCATCACAGGAATCCTAAAGAATGACCTTCTGCTTCTTTGCATGGGTTTTGCAGGCATTGTTAGTGTAGTGGTGTTGCTAAGCAATGTCCAGCCAAAGGAACTATGGCAATGCCCCTGGAAGAAACTGCTCCAGAAGTAAAATAGTTGCAAGTCAGCCAGGGCTAGAAATCTTGGAATATCAGGTGGCGTGTCTACAGCTTATGTTGGCGTAACTGATGTCACTCAGGGTGTGCAAATCAATCACTGGGTGGCATAAGTTACAGGGGCGTAAGTGCCGGTGTGGACAGCCTTATGTCGGTGGTGGAGCTTTTCCTGGCACTGTCCACACCGGCACTTACAATCTTCCTCTCCCCCCACCAAGGTAGCAGCGAGGTTGACAAGGGAAGCTCTCCCACCAACACAGCGCTATTTACATTGGTAGGGTGAGTGTTCAGGGGTGGTTTATTCACACCCCTGAGTGGCATACTGTATGCTGACTTAAGCTTTAGTGTAGACATAGCCCTAGAGCTACTGGACAGCGTTTACAGCAGTGCAGTTGCATTGGTGCACTTGCTATGCTGTAAACTTTCTACAGATCGGACCTCTCTGGTCCACACTCTTGAGACCTGACCAGTCCCTGATGAGGGAATTTGCCGGATCTGGGGATGTCCTACCAGCCCCCTAGCCCTGGACCAGCCACTGACCTCCCGGTGGCCGGCTCCCCTACCACCACCGAACCTGTTGGTCCCCCGCCCCTCTTCCCTGCCAGGCAGCCCAGCTCCCAGTGCGCTGGACTCTTGGCCCCATCAGACAGCCCCACTGTGGAGTGTCAAACTCTTGGCCCCACTGCACACCAGGACTCTGTTCCTGGAATGTCCATGGTCCTGCTGGATGTTGCCGGACCAGGGCATCCCGGTTTTTAGAGCTTCAACCTGTAGTGTAGCCCATAGTCTTTGCTCCAGTAACCCTCTAGCTACGCTTCAAAGCATGAACTGAAAGGGAAGCTTTATTAACCCAAGTTACCAGCATCTGAACTCTCTACTCTTGTGCTTGCCCCACGAGAAATCAACATTAGGGCACCAAGGGCATGTTCAAAACTTGTTCAGAGCCAGTTAGCCTGACACTGGATCTCATATGGCTGCCTTTGACTATGAAAATGTCAGCACCTTCAACATTTTATAGCGCACTTAAAGTGTGATATTTAAACCATCTTCTTCTAGATCCTCTCTATTTGTAGGTGGTTTTTATAGAAAAATGTGCTTATCTGGGCCTTCCTTTCCAGCCATCTGCTATTGGCAGTTGCCCAAATCTCCCTTACTGGTGGAAGGTTGCTCAGCACACTTGGAACTTTTCACAAGAAGTCCCCTTCCCATTTCAAATAACACTGCACTTTCTGTGGTAAAACAGCTCCGTCATCTTCGATTTACACAGACAAGCCCTAGAAACATGGAATTTGTCATTGACATTCCATCAAGGGACACTGGCATGAACGTTCTGGAATTGTCATTAGTGGTTTAGCTGTCAAGTCTCCAAAACATTTTCTCATATAACTTGGTGCTGTTTCTTTCTCTTTTGCAGTAGTATTTTGCCTTTGAGTAACAGTCCCCAGCTACAGTGCTCCAGGCACATTGTTCCAGGGCCTCTGTGGTGCTCCTGATGCCCCTCACCCACTGTCGAAGATCCCCGGTGGGCGAGGGGGTGGCAGGGATCCTTCTCTGATATATAAGGTGAGCCTGCTTTGTTATCTAGTGAATGAATTGCCTGTTTGGGGTTTGCCTGTGCATTTAAAGAAACGGTCCTGGTTTGTTACAAGCGGTGTTCAAACGAGGGGAGTTGGGGGCTGTGCTGCCTTACTGCTTCCAGGGGCTCCGCCACTTCTGAGTTAATCAGAGGTGCTGGGGGTAGCGTTTGGCTCTTCTGCCTGTAACTACAAGCTGGGCCTGGCTTTGCAGGCAGATCAGCAGGTGTCACTGCCTCATGGCTGGGGAAGCTGGGGCACTGCAAGGAGATGGCTTGTGAGGAGACTGGAAGGCTTTCCTGATTGATCAGGGCCCAAGTGCTATCCCTTCACTGGGAAGAGCTTTCTTCCCCTCCTCAGTTCCCCTCTGCCCGGAGGGTCTCAGGCTCTCACGCTTGCCTTTATAGAAGCCCCTTCCTATCAGTAGAAGGCAAGAGGTGCTGCCCAGTGGCTCAGCAGAAATCGGCCAAGCCGGCCATGTCCTGTCCCAACCACTCCTTTGGCCTGGGCTGGGAAGACACGCCAGAGGAGGATGCGTGGAACTGCACAAGCCAAAGGGGAAAGAGCAGAAAATGGGAGCTGCCACCACAGGAGATGGAGGAGGCAAAGGTGCAGCCCTGCTCCTCCTCAGAACTGCATTTTGGGGGAGGCATGGGTGGGGTAGGAAGTCAGAGCAGGAGGGGAAACCCATAGGTAGGGCAGGGGAACCAGGAGTAGTCAGGTGGATGCAGAGTCTGGGGAATTCGGGGTCAGTGGGTGGGGTCAAAAGGCTGCTGGGGTGTAAATGGCGGTAGAGGCTATGCTGTGTTGGCGCAGAAGGGGAAGTTCAGAGTGTGGGAGGAGGCAGGGCAGAAGGTTGGCAGTAACAGGCAGTGGAGTTAGGTGAAGGGATGGCAAGGGCAGAGACAGCCTTGTGCAGCTTGACTTGGCAGTGCGGAGGGTGCCAGGACAGGAGCAGAGCAAGGAATACCCTAGCATTTTGCTTGTTGGCAGTCCCTGCTCATTAATGGCTCCTCTGTCTTTCCCCAATAACTCAAGCACTACTTATAAGGTAACTAAAATAGGTGACCAAGGTAAGACCTTTAAACCAAAGGGACACTGCCGACAGGTAGAAATGGTGACCTGAGTGAGTGCTGGTCTTTGCTTAAAGAAAAAATAACACTTGTAATTGAGAAACAAATGAGTTCTCCCTGCTGGTCTGCTTTGAGTAATTAACACACCAGTAGTGTTCCCTAAGCTCTGGGTTCCTGCTGGTACATGAGGCTGGCATGTAAACAGATGAAGTAACTTTCTCGACATCTTCTAAATAGTAGAAATTAGGGACCAAAAGGGAAAATGCTAAGCTGCAGTGACTGCAGTCTTCCAGGTGCCGCAGAAAGCTAGGAGTGCTATGTCCTAGAGATTGCTGATGATAGATAGCTGTATGGAAGAGTGGGACTGCTTCCCCACTGTCAGCCGCTACCCGAGGCATTGTTTAAAATGTTCCTGGGAGGAGAATGCATACTAAACATCTCTAGCTGGTCCTTTTGTTCAACAATTGGTGATAGAACTCACGGAGGATGAACTGGAAGACAAGGTCCCAGAGAACTAGAAAAGGATGCATATAGTACCTGTTTTAAAAATGGGAACAGATGACCTGGGGAACTTATAAATCAGTTAGCCCAATTTCAGTACCTGGAAAAATACTGGAACAATGTATTTAGCACAAACAATTTGTTTGTAACATCTCGAGGAAATTCTTATAAGTGAACTAGGGAAATGGTCTAGATTTAATTACTAGAATAGAACTTGAAAGGAATCTCAAGAGGACACCAAGTCCCCTGCACTCATGGCAGAATCAAGCACCACGTGGACCATCCTTGACAGGAATTAGTCTAACCTGATCTTAAAAAATCTCCAGTGATAGAGTCTACAATCTCCCCAGGCAATTGATTCTAATGCTTAACCTCCCTGACAGGAAGCTTTTTCCTAGTGTCCAATCTACACCTCCCTTGCTGCAATTTTAAGACAATTACTTATCCTCTAGATGTTTGTACATGATTCCTTAATCATTTGCTCTCTTTCTTGGTACAGAAGTTAAGCTGACTGGTCAGTAATTCCCTGAGTTGGCCCTATTTCCCTTTTTTATAGCTGGGCACTATATTTGCCCTTTTCCAGTCTTCTGGAATCCCTGTCGTATTTCATGACTTTTCAAAGATGATAGCTACTGGGTCAGATCTCCTCAGTCCCCTAGTTGAGTATTTCAGGATGCATTTCATCAGGCCCTGGTGACCCGAAGACATCTAACTTGTCTAAGAAATTTTAAACGTGTACTTTTCCTATTTTAACCTTATAATCTTCCCCACTTTCACTGGCATTCACTGTTAGTGTCCAATTGCCACCAATCTTGGTGAAAACCGAAACAAAAGTCACTAAGCACCTCTGCCATTCCACATTTTCTTTCCCTGTTCACTGAGTAATGGCTTTACCCTGTCCTTGGTCTGTCGTTAGCTTCTAATGTATTTGTAGAATGTTTTCTTATTACAGTTTGTCTTCAGCTGGTTTGAGCTTGTTTTATGCCTTGGCCTTTTAAAATTTGCCCTTATATCAGGGGTGGGGAACCTAAGGCCTGGGGGCTGGATGTGGCTTCTGACTTGCCTGGATCTGGCCCTTGAGGCTCAAGGCTACCCCCCCCCCCCCCAACATTGGAGAGCCCACACTGGTTATCCTGTCTGCCTGTACCCCCCCCCCTCCCCCCCGGGCCATTCCCCATAAGGCTTGAGCACACAATCTATTAGCCAGGCCCTCCAAGGCTCTGGTGAGCAAGAGGAACGTGGGGAGTGTCTTTCTCCTTAGTCAGGTGCTGCATCAATGAGGGTGTTTTGGCTTGTCACTTGTGCAGCTCTCATTTGATTTTTCTGTGGGTCAGAGGCTCTGATCCAAAAGAGGTTCTCCACCCCTGCCCTATATACTTGTGGTAAGTGTTTTTATTCGTCTTTTGTAATTTGACCTAGTTCCCACTTTTTGTAGGACTCTTTTTTGATTTGTAGACCATTGAATATCTCCTGGCTAAGCTGGGGAGGGAAGGGGAGTGTCTCAACATATTTCCTATCTTTCCTACTCAGTGGGATAGTTTGCTCTTGTGCCCTAAATATCTCTTTGAAAAGCTGCCAACTGTCTTCAATTGTTTTTCATCGTATACTTGCTTCCCCTGGGATCTTACCTACCCAGATACACTCACCAAGTCTATTTCTAGCTCATCCTTAGTGTGTACGTTTTTAATATACAAGGCACACCACCTCCCTTTTTTCCCCTGCCTATCCACCCGTCCTAAGGTAAGTGCACAACTGGTTGGAAAGACCCTAATCCAGTGGTCTCCAACCTTTTTACACCCAAGATCACTTTTTAAATCTCAGAACAGGTGAAGATCTGAAGCCCCGCCCCTTCCTTGAAGCCCCGCCCCTTCCTTGAAGCCTTGCCCTCTCTATTCTCCTCCTGTCCATCACTTGCTATCCCCAGCCCTTACTTACACACTCTGACAAACAGTTTATTTTTAAATTATGCGATACATAAAATTAAAATCACGTGTTTATAGTTATGAAATAAATGGTCTGTTTTTATTCATGCTATTTAAATCTAAAATGAAGCATTTATAATTATACATTTTGTGGGGACAGTTCTGCGGCTGGGGGCAGGGGAGGGGGCAGGGTGCTGGGAGGGCAGAGGACAGGGTTCTGCAGCAGGGTAAAGGAGGCCAATGGGGACAGAGTTCAGGTAGTGGGGACGGGAATGAGGACAGAGTTCTGTAGCTGGGGACAGGGGAGTGGGGACAGAATTCGGGGAGTTGGGACGGGAATGGGGACAGAGTTCTGTAGCTGGGGACGAGAGTGGGAACAGAGCTCTGTAGCTGGGGTCACGGGATTGGGGAGTGTGGACAGGGGGCGGGGTGCCAGTGGCAGCAGAGAGTCCCCTGCATCTGCCTCCTCCCAGGATACCCTCCTCCTCCCTCCGA